AAATTATATCTTCTGCACCACTGCCAATATTTTGCGGAGTATTTTACGCTCAAATATTCCCAAAAGTCTTTCATCTTTCTGCGTTAGAGTCCATGGTTCTGCTTTATATGTGAGGACCGGCCTCAGCAATGTTTTGTATATAATAATTTTAGTTCTTCTTTGAATGTTTCTTGAGTGGAAATGCTTTTGGAGTCCATAGTATGCCCTTTTTGTAAGATTTATTCGTCTTTTAATTTCTTCGCTTATTTTATTGGTAGCAGTCATTAGCGACCCAAGATATGTGAAGTTGTCAACACGTCCAAAGGTATGACTTCCAAAGACTGTTTCTCGTTCCTCATTTGCTATAGGATCCTTTGTAACCAATATGTGCTTGGTTTTGTCTTCGTTGATGACTAGACCGACCTGTTTCGCCGCTGTTTCCAATTCTAGGAGATCTTGCTCAACATCTCGCTTGCTACGCCCTATTATGTCAATGTCATCAGCATATGCTAAGACATGTATCGATCTATTGTAAATAGTACCGCCATCCCTAATTCGTGTATCTCGGACTGCCTTTTCTAAGGCAATATTAAATAGGAGGCAAGCGAGAGCATCCCCTTGTCCATCCTTTATCTCAAAGGATCTAGAATTCTCTCCCTGTATTGTAACAGTGGCTTCTGAGTTAGACATTGTCATTCTCGTTAATCGGATAAGTTTCTCTGGTATACCAAACTCATGCATTGATTGGTATAGCACTGTTCTCTTGACACTGTCGTATGCGGCCTTGAGGTCGACGAATAGGTAATGAGTGTCAATTGTTGATTTTTCTGGAGTGAATCCAGCTTGATATTTACCAACTATGCCCACTGTGTAAACTTGTAGCCTTTCGTAGAGAATATTTTGCTAGTATTTTGTAAGCATTTGTTAACAAGGTTATACCTCTATAGTTGTCACACTGGAGCTGGTCACCTTTTTTATGTAACGGGCATATCACGCCTTGAGACCACTTACAAGGCATGGTCTCATTATGACAAACAAGAAGTAAAAGCTTATGCAGTGTCTGTAGTAGGGCATCGCCACCATTCTTGTAGAGCTCACTGCAAATTTGACCAATTTCTGGTGATTTATTATTTTTAAGCTTTTTAATGGCTGGGACAACGTTTTCGATGGTAGGTGGTCTTTCGTTTGGGTTGAAAGGATTCCAATCATTTCGATTTGCTAGGATGTTATCTGCTTCTTCGATATGATGGCCATTAAATTTTGCATCGAAAAATTCAACCCATCTGTTTAGAATTTAGGCCGTCTCATTTAGCATGTTTCTTTCTACATCTTTACAGCTCCTTATTCTTGGCTTAAACTCTTTGCACATTTTGTTTAGATTTCTGTAGAACTTTCGAGTTTCATTTTGATTTCTTAGCCAGTCTGTGCTTTCCAACTGCTTTTGCTCAAATTTTTTTTTGTTTTTTTTTTTAAATATATTATAAAAATATGTTAAAAATGTTAACTTTGTCAAAAAGAAACTTGAAATTACACGGAATGTTGGTTCTTGTATTGTTTAAAACATGATCAAATTTTCAAAGCAATCGGTTAAATAGTTTAAAAATTATTTTATTTGTTTTCGAACGTCAGAAAAGGATGAATTTACAGTAACTGTACAGATAGCTTATGATAGAAGAAAGTTTATTTTATAAATACTGAAACGAAAATAAACGAAAATGGAGAAAAGCAATTTTACATATTGCAAAATCATTTTGCAAAACATATCGATTTTTTGCTTATAAACAATTAGAATAACTTGTTAACTAGTGCCTGCATTTTTTCACAAATTTAAACAAAGAAAAAGTTGTCCTTGAACAATTTATTACGAAGTTAGTCACTTTTTTTTTAATTGGCGCATCTTTGTTTATAACAATTAAGAGATCTAATTACCGCTATTTAAAACAATGCACTTTAAAGTTTTAATATGCCAAATTCGAAAAACATTGCCATTTAAGGGAATCGTCAACAAAAATTTAAATGTGGTCTTCAAGATCTGACTGCATTGAAAAATCGCGGGTGTGATGGAATCGCTGGTTCTTGTCTATGGATTTCGAAGGTTGTGTTTTAACTTTATATGTACCTTTCGCGTACACTACTAATATGCAATATTTAAATAAATAAATTGAGGCAGTCTACGTGAGAAGGGCACATAGGACAAATGTGGGCTTTGAAAAAAACCACTTTGAAATTTTAACTTGCTATAGATACTATTTTGTTGTTTAAAAATTGAGAAGCTTACTACGCATTAAACTGTTATCTAGAACATTAAACTGTTTATCTAGAAAGCCATTTTCTAAGTATGACATCGATAAAAATAAAGCTTATGTTTAAAAATAAGGAAATACAAAAAGCTGCTATGTGCCCTTTTTAGATAGAACAGGGGATTTTTGATTGAAATTAATTTGCATGTGAAGAAAAAGAAGCATTATAGAATTATATACTTTTTTTAATGCATTACATATTACATTTTTAATACATTATTAAACAATCAATTCAACATTTCATATTTAATGAAGTTTACATCTTCTTCATTTAGGAATCTGAGAAGGCTTGTAACATCTTCAACTTTCTTCTGGTTCACCTCTGGTCTGGAACATATAGTTGTATTGACAATGTGAAACTGTTGTACTCCTTGTTTCCAAAATCTGTACAGTTCAAAGTTTTCTGTATTTGATGAACATGAAATGCCACCGCTACCATCATATTTTATAATAACGTACCTACTTCATAATTTTGAAGGGAACTTTGTTTTTGGACACAGGTTTAGGCAAGAAAAAAGGTTTAATGAAAGAGTCCCAATCTTAAAGAAGGTTACTGTTCATTTTTACTTCAAATGGCGCAGGATTTTTCCTGCATGTTACCCCAGCAGTAGCAGTAAGGTATGGCTTAGGACTTCCTATTACTTCAGCTTTGTTTAGAGTCTTGATGATCAAACCAAAATTTCTGTCACATTGGAAAAGCTGTGGCCTCTAACCGGAAACAGTTATATGACAGTTACTTGGAATACTCTTGCAAACCACATCTTGTAACAGTTAAATTTCTGTATTGTCCTCCTGCGGCATCAGATAACAACATAATAGTTTTAATGGGTGAAAATTTACTTATCTGTACTTTAATACAATCAAATAAAAAAGATACCACAGAATTAGGATCCTTCTTTTCATCACACTCAGTAAATGTATTGCAATAACTAGAGTCGTCGTTAAAAACATGAATGTTAAAACAGTGCAACCAAAACATTCTTTTGTAAAATTAGGTATTGACATTTAGCTTTGGTATTGGGAAATTTTGAGAATAGTCGAACTCCAAAACCAGATGCGAGAGATTTTCTTCTTTGGATTTAGCAATATACATATCACGCAGTTCTTTTCTTTTATTTACTTTCCTGTTGTGGATTTCAAAAAAAGACATACATGGGTCTTTATCATTGATATTTATCTTGATTTTCCATTCTTGGCAACAATCGCATACATCTGTTTTAGGTTTGACTTCGGGGTATTCCAAATAATTTTGATATTGTTTTATTCCAAAAAGATATGTTTTTTATTGGAGTGAGTTAATTGGTCACGAAGGAGATTTTAAGAAATAGTATAAACGAAAACAAAAGTTTTAGTTTGAAAAGTAAGAGTTAGCTTTGAGATTTGAAAGAGAAAGGTAGTTTTGATTTACTTGGTAAAATTATTAAAAAAAAAGTAAATTTTAGTGTTTTTGCCAGTTGAATTAAAAGTGAATAATGAGAGAAGCCGTGAAGTTTTTCTGGTAATAGCCAAGGAGTGCAAAGCAGAATTTTAAGGAGAGGAAATCCTGTCAATTTGCAGATTAAATTTTGATTTAAAATTTTCAAACGACAGTCAGGGGAGATTGAGGTGTTTTGAATATAAACAGTTGTTCTTATTTGATTCTTTAAAGTAGGAAATCTTAGGATTCCTAGGGTTGTTTAGTATTATGTTTTAAAATTACTTATCCTTATCATAATATATATATATATATATATATATATATATATATATATATATATATATATATATATATATATATATCGCCAATCTATCGCCAATTAAGTATCAACTTTTTTACTTTTTTAAAAATACAACATTTATATGTCTCATTTTTTTCCAAGTTGCAATTATGAAACCAGCACTGGGCATATTTAAACGCTGTCTTTAAATATGCCCAGTTAAAATATATCAGTAAAATTGGGTTTGAGAGAAAGTGAAATGGCATGCTATATTAGAAAATACTTTTTTTATTTAAAAGAAAGTACTTTATGATCGAAAAATTGAGGAATGATAACGAAAATTGGACGCTAGATAAAAATATTTCCCACGGGATACATGTTGCTTTATTTAACTGGAAGCGAAAGTGGTGAGGCCTGTGAAATGTGGCTTGTGAAATGTGGCCTGTAAAGAAGATTCAGAAAAAAAAGCTGGAGGTGGCTGAAATAAAAATGTTATGGTGGATGTTGGGCAAGACTAGAAGGGACAGGATCAGGAACGCTGTGATTAGGGAAAGTGCAGGGGTGACTACAGTCTCAAAAATGGTTCAAGAACAAAGACTGCAATGATTTGGTCACGTCAGACCTAGAAATGAAAACTATTTGGGATAAAGTATAGAGTTGAGGAGTGGAGGGAAAGAGGGGTAGAGCAAAACTGAGGAGGAGATGGAAGAACTGTGTAGCAAAAAACTTGAGTAGCGAAGAAAAGTGGGGAACAGCGACTCTTGAAAAGGGAAAAGCTAAGGAAGAAGAAGAAGCTTCTAAGAATTCATTAAAAAATTAAGATTGTAAAACAAACTCGTGTATTTACAAAAAAAGTTATTAATATCATTACTAATCCCGACACTGAGAACCATTTATACTTAAGGGTTTTTTTAATGTTTTCGTTGTGTAAAATTTAAAAAATAACATACTTAAAATGTGTCCATTAAAGCTTATATATATTTATTCGTTACATAAATGTCATACAGTTGTCAATTATCTTTCTAAATTAATTTAAATAACAATCTAAATTTTCAGCATGAGTCGAAGAACAACTGTTTCATCTGATAGTCCCATGTTCCCAGAAGGTATATTTCACAGCATTACATCAAATACGAAAAATTTAAGAATGGGTATTAGTTCCATCAGTAGTATACATCGAACAATATCAATGTCCAGGGTGTATGGAGGACTTGGCGTTTTGTACTACGGGGGACTAGAAATCGATTTGGATAAAATACTTCAGGTAACAATTTATTAATGCTTTTACCGCTTTATTTTTCTCATGTATTATTTAACTTAGTTATTTGAAGTTTTTTTAATAGGTATGTTGACACAAGTATTTTGACGTAGGTGATAATTCGTTTATTTTTTCCAAAAATTGTTGTTTTTTTTGGTTTATATTATTTGGTTTAGATTATAGATCAGTTTTTGTTCTACAGAATACTCATTTTTCACTTACCACTTTGCTTTGCTTTTGACCACAATGAGTCAAAACAAAGGGGCAATGTTCAGGCTATCCTGATTTATACTAAAAACCTTTGTGCTAAGCTTTGTCATATTAAATTAAGATAGTTCACAGTGGTTTCATCATTCTACCATGGTATATGCGACATGTTTACTCTTACTACTCAGATGATTTTTGATTGCATTCCTAAAGTTGAAAAAGTCAGTAGTTTCTTCTTGTAAGTTGCTTATTTGTTTAGCAAATCTAGTTGTGTTGAATTTGAGTGTCTTTCTGCCGTTCTTAGTTGTGACCTTTATTCGAATTTTGAATACAATTTATTTATGTAGAGTGAAGATGCTCTCGTCTAAATCATCCCAGTTAATGATTTTCTTGGCAAAGTTGTTTAATGCTAGGGTATTGACTACGTGACTTCGCTATTCACCTCTTTTAAAAGTATGTTTACTATTATTTAACACTACCAGGTCGGTCGATGAAATCAATTCGTTCCATATTTTCCCTTGGTGTCATTATTTGGGGACCCCCATAGAATGGATAGAAGTGACGCTTCGAAGATATTATCTACCTTGTTTTGGTATTGTGTAATGTTTATATTCAATGATATATCATGCTACTATTGCCACTTCATTCATATTGATTTTAATGAATTTTTCTTTCTTGGTAATCTTTTTTATGTACACACGTTTGTTCAACTTGAAGACTGCAACATCTGACCGTGTGTCGGTGATCCAACCAAACTTTCTGGCGATGTTTTTGTTTGCTTCTGGGACTATGGTTAGATCTGCTTTTACTTCTAAGGCTTTTGCGTATGTCCGGTCATGTGCCATCTTGGCCCTTCCGATGTTTACTTGAGTATCCTAAGTCTTTTTAACCAGTTCGAAGCCATTGTAAGTTTATACCACAAGCTATTTGGTCACATGGTGAGAGGCGTTTCCTAACCTAATCCAAAAGGTCAATGGTGATACTACCCTGAGGGGATAGTGCCTAAGAGGTAGAGGTCGATGTTAGTTGTATCCAGGGTGGAAGGGGATGGGGTGTCGAAAAGTGACGTGAATTGGTTCATCAAGATCGAATGGGTTGCTCCGTTAAAGACCTCATCGCCCGCTCTTCTTAACTACTCGTCGGAGCAAAATGGGTCCGTAAGCCTTGTTTTCTGATTTGAGGGTCCGTGTTCTTTGTCCGTTTCCATAATTAAGACCTTCGTTTTTGAGAAAGGCTTTGGGGCAAGGGCCTCGATGTTCCGTAGTTGCTCGGCCAGAAGGCTGCACGCTTACTACTGCCGATACCGTTTCCCTCTTTACATATGACACAGTGCTTCTGTTCATTACCTGACTCGAAGGTGTGTCCCTCTTTTCCGCACCTGTGACAGTGTCCGGTACGGTCGGGACCATCACACCTCAGAGCATCGTGCTGGTAACTCCAGCAGCGTTGGTATCCCTTCACTATATATCTGCATTCCACCTCGCAGCGTACGAGGCTCACCTTCAGATGTCTGAGGTTTATAATCGTCTCTGCCACTAGTTAGATCGGTAAGGATGGTCGTGGCTGCTTTAGTATTGTTCTGCATTGTTCGTATCTGTTTAATGGTGAAACTAGTGTACCACTTGACGATTTCTTGCGTTATAGACCGCATGTTGTACACTTTCCGTCGTTCTCCTTAAGTGAATGATTGCCTGCTTTTCGGTTCCCATAAATTTCGCCGTGAATCCACTGTATTCATCTGAGAAAGCTTTTTTTAATATCAAGGCCGCTCCCTGAGCCGTGTCTATGGTTATTAAAAGATTCCCGTCCCAAATATTGCGCACGCTGCGGATAGATTTCCTTGTCACCGTCTTTATTACATCCTTTTTCACTTCCTAAAAAAGTTAGGAGTAGGTCGTGTCTTTTTTTGATACGATGAAACCTTTCGTAGGCGTACTGAATATCTGAATGATGGTTCCTGTGGTGAAATCAAACACTGCTTCCGTCATCTTGCGCAGCTCAGTAACCGGCATATAGCTTACATGATGGAGAGCCACGGAGTCCTCGGAATTCATTTTTTCTCTGACACGATCGAGAGCGCGCCAAAGTTGTTCGGGTGTGTCGGTTCATAATTTGATGAATTTCTATGTCTCTGTCTTCCTTTCCTTTCCTCGTCTAACCATTGTGGAATGTTCCAACACCTCCAAGTGTCCTTTGAGGGTGGGGAGGTTGGGGTAGCGGTCCCCGTATAATCTTTGTATTGAATGGGCCAAATTTTACCTTACCTAACCCATCCTAACCAAATCTAACCCAAACATGACCCAACCTAACCTAAACAAAACTAATTAAAAAAAAATATATGAATGGGTGTACATTATTCAGATAAAATATATAAGTTCCCTTCCTGGGCTGCGAGATGACCTACGGGCGTTGTTAGGTCATCTCACCTAACCTAAAGAAAACTAATAAAGATTAAAAATATTAGTGAGATACTTGCAAGCTCATATGGAGCAACACACACCGACGCTATAAGGGCGTAGGTCATTATATACATCATTTATATTCCGGGCTGATGCCTTCTACTATAATATACACACCGTTTTTCAAATGTGGAGCACTTCTGGTTTTTGTACTCTCTTCGGTGATACATATACAATAATTAAAACTTTTAATATAGTAGGTAATCTTAGTAAGAGGGTTCCTGTACAGGGCCGATACGGATAATCGTAAAGTGTTAAAAATATATTTTTTTGTTGCTTTATTGGTAAATTTCAGTAAGGGCCTAAAAAGGTATTCAGATTGGACGTATAGCAGACAGACAGTGGGGGAAATCTTTTTTTATCAAAAATTCATTAATTCTTCGGCATTTTTAACTGGCATTCATCCTAGTCAAAACCTCTCTCTCTCTTCAATCCTGACCCCCCAGGGGGAGTGTAGTGGTCGACGTGATGTCGTGTATTGTCCGTCTCCAGAGATCTCTGTCTCTGGTCATTTCTTTTAATTCATGCATAGGTCTTTGGCATATTCCTGTAATTTGATCTATCCATCTTGTTGGGGATCTTCCTCGTGATCTTCGGCCTTCTACCTTTCCTTGTATTATGAGTCTTTCCATGTTTTCTGTGTTTGCTCTCATAACATGCCCAAAATATTTTAATTGTTGGAGATGGACTTTACTAGAGAGTCGTTGGCTAACTTTTAGCTCTCTTAAAATTGAATTATTTGTTCTGCGGTCGGTCCAAGGAATTCGTAACATTCGTCTCCAACAGAACATTTCAGTGGCGTCTATCTTTCTATCTAGTCAAAACCACATTATATAAAATACAGTATTGATTGGTACTTTCAGTCCTTCAAAAAAATGTACCGAGATATGTGAGATACATCTTCTTATATTTTTACGTTTTTTTGTGATATATTGGTTAGGTACATCAATAATAGGGGATACATCCATTTTCCAAGAATAAAAGGAAAACATAAACTGAACTTGTTTTGATATTTGTAAGTTACATCCAGAAATATTTTGATTTCTTTAATTATTACAATATTTAAAAGAGAGAAACCTATGACAAAAATTGGTAACTTCGCACAGTTCCTGTCATACTTAAAATCCAAAAATAATAATAAATACAACATAGTTTATACTAGCAATGTTAATTATTTCGGTGAATAACAACTACTATTCTAGAATAATCCATTATTAAATATTCAGTATTAATATGTTATAAAAAAGGTTAGTAGAAATATATAGTTTTGTTAAATAAAAATATGTCTCAAATTAGCGTGGCTACAACCGGACCAGCAGCCTAGTTTCGCTGTTCCAAGTTATTGGTACATATTATAACCTGAATTATGTATTCTTTTTAGAGCGCTCTAAGAATTATGTATTCTTTAGTCTCCCTACGGAGGTTGGCAATCATAATGACTATTTTTAGCCATTTTTGAAATTACAGTCCTCTCTCTCTATAACGATATTCAAGGGGCCGGGAATTTTCATCGTTATAAAGAGAGATCGTTATACAGAGAGACACAAAATTCGGTACTGTAATATTATTAATACCGTACTAAATAACCTATTTAAATTAAAAAAAATTATCAAAACGAATAAAATAGTATATTACATAACGAGAGTTGTAAGAAGCTTATTACATGCTAGTAAAAAAGTTGCGCGCGAGCCGCGTAGCGGCGAGCGCTGTAATTTTACAAGCATGTAATAAGCTTACAATTCAAGTTGTGTACTATACTTTTTCTACGATTATTTTCGTTTACAAAAATAAAAATTAAATTACCACTATATTTACACTGACAGATTAATAATGTTTAATCTGTCAAAATAACGTCTGTTAATTCGTTTCCATGGTAACTCGACCAACTGACTTACGAGGCTTATGTGATATTACACATTTTTATAACACTGAAGCGTAATTTTTTTTATTACGTGCTAGTCATTACGTGTCAGTATCTGTTATGATGCATTTACTTAGCATCCAAATAGTAGGTAATATACAATTTACTAGTAAGAGAGTAGAAAAATGAATTAACACTGTATTGTACGGCACATGGATTTATTAAAGAATAATATAAGCAATACAGTATAAATTAACGGTTGTTCACTAACAACCTGTTCACCGAATTTGTCATGTTAGCGGCCACTAAAACTGTAATATGTTCCTTAGAGAGCTTTTCACCAACGCACTTTTCCGATTTAAATTTTAAGGTTCTGTTTGGTGTCATTTTAAAAACCAATCCAGTCTCATCAGCATTGAAAATGTCGATTGACGCAAATCGTGCCTTCATTCTAGGCCACAAGTTTTCTAGCCAATCAT